TACACATTACATATCATACACATTACATATCATACACATTACATATCATACACATTACATATCATACAAATTACATATCATACACATCACATATCATACACATTACATATCATACAAATTACATATCCTACACATTACATATCATACACATTACATATCATACACATTACATATCATACACATTACATATCATACACATTAAATATCATACACATTACATATCATACAAATTAGAAGTTCGCTTTAAATATTTGGAATAATAAATTTTGTAATTTAGCAAATTTAATTACCTTTTTATAAGTTTGCTTTATACAGGGTGTTCCACAAAACATGACATCAGCAAGACGACTTGAAAGTCGTCCTATTCTTGGCATTTCCAAAATGCGGTCTGCCTTTTCGTCAATATTACCGGAGATATTAAGAATTTCGTTCATATTTTAATGTTATGAAATGAAACCAAAATTGTTGAAATATGAGCAAAATTCTTTATATTTACGGTAATATTGAAAAAAAGCCCAAAAAGGCAGACCGCATTTTAGAAATGTCAAGACCCGGGGTATTTTGTGTTAACACATTCTAGAATTTCACTTGTAAAAGTAGGGTTAAGAACAAATGCCGCAAATTATTTCAAAGATCAAAGACGACCATCAATTCGTCTTGATACTGACATGTTTTGCAGGACACCCTGTAACCTCGTGAAAAATGTTTACATAGATATATGATATTAGGTCAACACAAGAAAGAAAAGTTTTAACGAATAACGTTTTAATAAACAGAGATTTCTCAATTTATAAATTTTATGAACATCTCAGATTGGTTTGACTTTTAATCGCATTAAAAGTGAGAAAAAAATCTTAAATCTACATCTGTACAATTTATTTTCAAAAATCGAATTTTTTTTTTATTTATTTCACGGGCAACGCGGAAAGCCGGCACTTCAGCTTGTATTTTTTAAAACAAATTAAAAACTAAGCTCTAATCTATTGTTTATAATTTTGACTGGATGGTTATAGTGGATCCGTATCTGGGGTTTAAAGCTACAGTTGAGTATGAGGGGGAGGCTAATCTATACTCTCCAACCTCTTTAGCAGCTGCAGCTTACACCCGCCCTAGCTCCAATCCAGCTCCATACAATCCTGCCGCGGCTCCACACCACCCAACCCCTGTTCCATACAATCCCAACTCTGCTCCATACAATCCCACCCCTGCTTCATACAACCCTACCCCTGCTCCATACAATCCCACCCCTGCTCCATACCACCCAACTCCTGCTCCAATTTATGCTTCACCGGCTCCATCTTATGCTGCTCTAGGATTCTCCTATTCAACTCCTGCTCCTTCCTACAAACTAAGCTACTCTCCTTCCTATTCCACGGCTAGCCCATCCTATAGACCCAATTATTCTCCATCCTACTCTACACTATCTCCATCCTATCCTACTTCTGCTCCATCCTATTCAACTCCCTCTCCTACCTACAAAACATCCTCCCTCCCATACTCCCCTGTTCACTACTCCTACTCCCCCTACCCGTCCTCCTCCCTGTCCTACTCCAAGCCCTTGTACAGGTCTCATGTACAGCATGTACAGGAACTTCAACAAGAGAAACATGTGAGTAATTTTTCAAACCTACCTGCATACTAAATTGTAATATATGTAATATTTTGAGATTTAAAAACAATATTATACTTGATAACTGCAAGTTCTGGTTCCAAGAGAAATCTACGTAAATCCATGCATTTGATGAGGTTAATAGATATTTTACATTGTGTTGGTTCACAATGAGGTCATAGGACTTGAATATATGAATAAGTAGAATTTAAATATGGCATCAATAGGTAATCAATATGTACACCCTTATATGCTTAACATACCACATGTACTCACATTCAATACTCTAAGAGAGAGATATTCTCTACATTTTTAACTAAGAGCTCATGCAGTACACTTTACCGTACTAGAAGTGTACACTGTACGTACTACGTATGTACACCCTTACATGGTTCTATTGTACAGGGTGTTATATTTTAAATCATTAACTTACTGTGAAAATTCAAAATATTATAGATGTGTCTCCACAAAAAGTTCAAAAAGTCATCGAACTGTAATCTAACGAATATTTTTTTTGGGACAATGTTGAAATAAATATGGCGTCAAAAACATAAATAGATTTGGTTTCGGCCATAGATAAATAAATAAACATAGATAGCTTATGTACGCAAAATCACCAAGAATTGTACAGTCCGCGAACTCATACTTCTACGAAGTATGAGTCAAAGTCAAAGTGTGTTTCAATGATAAGCGGGGTGGTTTGGTGTTTTAATGGATTTTATAATTATTAAACCACTCAGGAGTGAATATCAAATTATTTCACTGAGCAATATATCATATTGACGAGAACTGAAGAAGGACATGAGAAGGACTAAACTAACTTAAATTTCTCTCTACAGAACTCATGTACACCACAAGTACTCAATGACATAAGAACAGCCAATGTTCACAACCGACCTAGTTAATCTATATAATAGGAATATCTTTAAAACATCTCTGTACATTTATATCTTTCAAGATGAAAAATGTCGTCTTATGCGCAATCTATCTTTATCTATGGTTTCGGCCCAACGTTTCTTTACTGAGTGCTAAGTTTTTTACCAAAATTTTACAACGGGCAAATAATCCGCAAAACAAAACAAGAACAAAAATCGACTTTAACCTTAGAATAAGATTGCGGCATTCATTATGGTAACCTCGTTTAAGCAATATTTTTAATGAAAAACTAATCACAAAATAGCCCCAATCCTGCCATTTCTAAAACGTGGTCTGCCATTTATTTGCTCTCAAAAATACCAGAGATATTAAGAATTTTGTTTAAATTTTGATTAATCAAATAAAACCATGAAAATGTCTCAATCTGAACGAAATCATTCATATCTCTGATAATAATGAAAACACAAAAATGGCAGGACTAGAACTATTCTGTGAGTATTGTTTCGCAAAAAATATTGCTATAAAATCAGGTTACCAATTTGATAAATGCCGCAAACTATTTCTTATGTCAAAGACGACTTTGCAGTCATTTTTTGCTCACAATAACCCTGAGACATAAGCCTTAAGGAGTTACGCGTATACTTTCTCTCTGTCTTGTCATATAACGCAACATGTGCGTAACTTCTTTGGCCTTCTGCGTCAGAATTCTTGTGAACGAAAAATCTCTAAATCTTGAAAAGACGGCATCTAGTGTGCTATCTGTATTGTTATTGATCTATGAATTTAGTAAACTGCTTGAGCTGTGTTTCAGGTTGAGAATAAGAATGGAGGAGGAACATATGTCCAGCCTTTCTACAAGGAATTTCAGAAGCAGGAGACACACAAGGAACAGGAGAAGCAGGAGAAGCAGGAGAAACAGGAGAAACAGGAACCAAAAAGCACAGAAAAGGTATTTATACCAAATGATTTTATAAGATCAAAATGTTTTCTCTATGGCTAGAATTAAAAAAAATATCAAGCAATAAATGCTGCGATATTTTTTAATGTCACTATTAAAAAAATTGGTGTTATTGTATATTTCCAGTGTCCAGTGGTTCCGGGGAGGGAGCGTGGCTAGAACTTAGTCTCAGTAATTATAAAAACACAATATTTTTTTTTAATCCAGCTATTTTACATGAACGTTGAGGCATGTATAAACTTGTCAGACGCCTGGACGCGTCAAACCTATATCTATATCTAGCTTTAGGCTTTAATAAGTGCAGTGAGATCTAAAACTGTTTTATTTCAGGATCCCTACCTAGTTTCTGAGAAGGATATAGAAGGGAAGGATTTCAGTGGACCCTTCTTCTATCCTTTACATAGAAAAATTGGAAAGGCGGTCAAGCATAAAACGGACAACGACATTTAAATCCGAAATATTTTGAACGTGTTATCTGCTAGTATTTCAGATCACGTGTTATCTACTAGTGTTTCAGATCACATGATATCTGCTAGTATTTCAGATCACATGATATCTGCTAGTATTTCAGATCACGTCATATCTGCTAGAATTCCAGCTCACGTGAGATCTGCTAGTGTTCTAGATCACGTGATATCTGCTAGTGTTTCAGATCACGTGTTATCTGCTAGTGTTTCAGATCACGTAATATCTGCTAGTGTTCCAGATCACGTGATATTTGCTAGTGATCACGTGATATCACACTCGGTGTCTCGGAGCAAATTGCAGTTACAGTGAGAATATGAAAACATGAAAAATATATGAAATACGTTAAGTTATTTTGAAATTTTGCAAAAGCTTGTTTCACAAAGTTCAACAATATCTAGTCAAAGTTAGAACACAACTAATTGGCATTAATAAAAACATTATTACAACAAATAATGTGAATTAGAAAACAGTAAAAATGAGCATTTTGTACAAATATTTTTAATTTTAATTTTTTCCTTTTACCAATACAAATACAGCGATAACGTGACAACTCTAGAATAGGAAGACGACATTAAAGCAATACTATAGTGCCCTGTTTACTCTGCATAAATAATATTTTATTGGACTATTTAATGTCGACTTCCTATTCCAAAGTTTTCTGGTTATCACTGTATATTTTTTCATTAAATGTTATTGAGGTGATTGAATGAAAAGTGAGAAGGAGTTCAACTAGATCTGTTTTTTTATTCAATTTGGTCTTATTAATTCACTTATCCTCTAAAATACGATTATGGTGCTAATCATGGATGGTTTAGATGACAATATATGGTTAATTAGCAATGGCTTTCACCTTCTTAAATAAAAAAAAATAATTTGGGCAACGACAGTTTTTTGAGACAAAATTCAACGAGCAAAAAATTTACCTTCTAAAAATTTCTAATTGTAAACTTGATCTAGTACTTTGAACCACTAAACTTACTTATTTATTATATTTATTTTAAATTATTGAAATGTTTTCATGTTCAGAAATAAAATGTTCATTTCTCACATTGGTTTAACATATATATAAGCAGAATTAAATATAAAGGTGAGACTGGTGAAAAGGGGTAGTAGTTGAGAGGATAGCGCAGACTGCATTATTAAAATAAAATCAAAAATATTATGAAATATCAGCTACATACGAATACGTCGAAAATCGATGATTATACGTTGAAATATCTGAATAATTCGTTAGGAATTAAATTGATTTTTTTACGATTCGAGTCGAATATTGCAACTTTCTGAATTTTTATGGACGCTACGTTCTTCGGTATTAGTCGTTTTTAGCAAATTTCTCTTTCTAGACGCAACAAATAGAAGTAAGATTAGTATGATCAATCACCATCAATATTTTTTAGACGTAAGCCCTTTCATTTTTCGCGAACACTCACTTTAAGTAGAGTTACCCACAAAATATTCGGCTTTAAAAGACGACTGTACGGAAAGTATTTATCCATTATCTTATATTTGTGTCTCCTTAAAGCTCTTTCGTTTCCAGATCATTTGATTTGAACCATTAAAAAGTTTGATTAAGTACAAAAGCTAGAAATTAACCCAGACCGTCATATTGTTTTAGGTCGTCATTAAAGCCTCATTCTTTGTTGGTATTGAACACTGTAAAATGAAACTTAGACCTTATTTAATATGAATAACAAGTCTTTAAAATATTATTGCATAATACAAGTGAACAATCTAACCAAACTATTTTTCTTAAGCTTTCAGATAAATTCATTGATCTAATTTTTATATTTTATAAAATATTTCAAACATAGAGTTACCCACAAAAGATGAGATTTTAATGTTACAGAAACTTTTAAATGATACTGAATGATTTGGCAAAGAAAAAAGGTATTAGTTACAAGGAATTGAAGGAACCAAGAAAAGAAGAAAACTCGTCTTTCAAGTCTCATTCTTTGTGGGTAACCCTGTATATCTCTTCGGTTTCAAAACAGACACACCTTAAACATTTTTCAGTTAACTTCAGTATCGATCAAAGTTCTATAGATCAGAAAACCTAATCTATACTCTCCAACCTCTTTAGCAGCTGCAGCTTACACCCGCCCTAGCTCCAATCCAGCTCCATANATAGACCAGAAAACTTCAGTTTCAATCAAAGTTCTAGAGACCAGAAAACTTCAGTTTCAATCAAAGTTCTAGAGACCAGAAAACTTCAGTTTTAATCAAAGTTCTATAGACCAGAAAACTTCAGTTTCAATCAAAGAATTTCCATTTTATGGAATCAAAACTTATACACAAAGAATTCATAAATTGTTTAAATGTACAATAAGATAGGACAAAAGCAGGTTTCTTTATTAAACCATTAAATTAAAGCTTATTGTCATTGCACGTGTACAAAAACGCGCAGCATCGTTGAAATGACGTCACATAGCTCCTAAATATACATTTTCAGCTAGAAAATTAAAAATATCGCCGTTATCCTTGTTTAGATTTTAAGTGTGCCGTTGTTAATCAGAAATGGTACTTATTCCATCCACAGTCCCTTTAATAGGAAAAAATAATTTTTTCGAAATCCCTTGATGATTTTACACTGATACAGGGTGTCTCACGAAATATGCCAAAGATGATGATAAGAAATACTAAATGGCAGTAATATTATAGTAAAATTGATTTTAGAAAATATATATATTTCAGTAAAAGATTTGTTTAACGAAATAAACTGCAAACAGTCTTAATTAACTAATACAGTATCATGGAAGAAGACATTAAAACTATTCACCAACTGTCATGCTTCATGGGACACCCTGCATTTGCGAAGGAGGGAGGAAGGTACAGGGTGTCCCACGAAACATGACAGTTGGTGAATAGTTTTGAATGTCTTCTCCCCAAAACTGTACCACATATTAAAGATATTTTATAGTTTAATTCGTTAAAAAATCTTTTACTCAAATATATCTTTTCTACTTTGAGATTAATTTTACTAAAATATGACTGCTATATAGTTTTTTATTTTTATCTTGACAAATTATGGAAAAAGGCTCGTTTTTCAAAGACTATTAAGATTTTGTAAGTTGTTAAAGGCACCCCCAAATATTATCGCATATTTCGTTAACGATCGTTAACGACGACCCCTTCGTTAACGATTGTTAACGAAGAGAGGAAACCGACCTGAAGGGCATCTTTACATATCATTGAGTAGTTTTTAAGAAAATATCAAGGAATTTTAACTCTCCCACTACTGTTAAACTTCATGTAAGACGACATTCAATAAAGTTGCATATAATTTATTTCCAAAAACGACCGTTTTGATAAATTTCGTCATTTCGTTAACGATCGTTAATGACAACCCTTCGGTAATGATCGTTAACGACGACCTTTTGTTAACGATCATTAATGACGACCATTCGTTAACGATCGTTAACATAATTGTCAATAATTTTTTTTTTCAAAAACGATCGTTTTTTTAAAAACAATCGTATAAAAAACGGTCGCAAATCGTTTTAGTAAAAATGATCGTTTTCAAAAACGATTGCTATTCGTTTTCTAAAAGTTCAAAACGAGTCGGTCGTTTTTAAAAACGATCGTTTTTTTTCCGAAAACGAAACAATCGTTTTTGGAAACGAAACAAAAAACGATCGTTTAACAATCGTTTAATGATCGTTTACAAAGACGATTAACAACCCTAGATGTGAGATGTCTTAAAAATGTTGTTTCCGATCGGTTAGACTTTTTTGAGGTTTATTGTATCCAATGGTTGAAAGACATGCAAAGTATGTAAGTAGATTGTTGAACATTTTTAAAAATTGAAACAGAATATTATGGAAATTTGTGAGACATACTTTACCTTGTATTCATGATTTAAAAAAAAAAATAATGAGGCTTTTTTCTAAGAATTGTAAAACTAAGAGTAATATAGAATTGTTATGAAATATTACAGGGTGGTTGGAAAAAATTACACCTTAAAATTACTATAAGATTCCCTAGCAAGAAAACCTACTCCATGTTCCACTTGAACTCTTCAAGAGGAGGACTCCTATTATCCACCGAAAATGAAGAATCCACCTCATTTTCTCCTCTTGTGGAGTCAATCAAAAACGAAATTCCTGAGGAAAAAACGCGAAAATTTTGCAAAAAAAAATGGAAATTATTCTAAAAAACGAAAATTTTGCGAAAATACATAATTTTAAAAAACAAATGCAAAATTTAGCGAAAAATTTACGAAAATTCATCAAAAAAGACTAATTTTTGAGAATACAAGACTTATTTTAAAAGAGGGATTTATCTGCGAACCCAATTGATGAATCAACACAAAATATAAACATAGATTTAAGAACTACTTGGAGACAACAGACAGTTAGCGAAATTTGTGCATTTTGCAAAAATATTTTCGCATTTCGCATTTTACGAAATTTTGCTACATTTAGTTTCGTGAAAAAATGCGAAATTTTGTGAAAAAATTCGCAGTAAGCAACCCAAAATTTTCGCATTTGTTCGTGAAACAAATTATTTCCTGGAAACTCTAATCATGTGTTTAGGCAGTTCCAAATATTACCACAAGATATCTTAAGAGTTGAACGTAAAATTGAATTACATATAGAAATTAAAACTGTTATTGTTTACAAACAAAATGTTATTTCCTAGAATTAGATACTTGTGTTTGATTATGAGTAATTCCTTAGCAAAAATATAATATGTGTAACAGTCCCAAGCTCAAAGTTATATTAAAAAGATTGAATTATCCAATAGATCACATATGCATATGTTTATACTTGATAAATACATTCAATTAAATACATTTATTTAATGTTTGTAAATGTTAATCGCCGCAAATTTTTAAAGTAAAATCTAATAATTATTTTAATTGGCTCCAATGGGGTTTAGAAACAGTGCTCTAGAAAAAGGTGTAGCAAAGGTGCTCTAAAACGGTTCTTCAAAAGAGGTGTAATAACGGTGCACCTCAAAACCCCTAAAAAAGGTGCACCTCAAAAACTCTTAAAGTGGCGCACCTCAAACACTCTAAAAAGGTCCACTGCAAATCACTTGATTTGGTGCACCTCAATTGCATCCCTTTAAAATACCGCAGAATCTCCGATTTTGGAGAATCGGAGTTCCGGTTTGTTTAACTCCGTGACATGATTAACGGTGCACCTTTTGTCCTCCGTTCTTGGTATTTTTTCTTGCTGGGTGTAGACCATGTTACGCCTAGCGTATATTGATCAATTTATGAATACTGAATTGCGTCGTTAAATCCACATGTCCCTGTGCACTCAACAGTATTGCGTACTTTAACCAACACAACCAATAAAAACACAAATATAAATTAAGCTTAACA